TTGATATTACAAATAAAGTAGTATGTTGTTAAATGGATACACTTCAGTGAGACCTGAATATGAGAACAGTAAGTAGAAGTAACTATGCAATTGCTATTTATTTACAAACTATATAATTGTAATATTTTTAGAAGATTTATCATTGGAAACTACGAATCAAAACGAATCAGATGAGTCTACACAACATTTCATTGAACTAGTTCCCATGGAAACTATTGATTCTAGTGGTAAATAGTAGTTTTATCTTTGATTTTTTTATATAAACTTTATAAAACAAATATGTATTTTAATGCAGAAAATGAATTTTGATGATAGTGTTAAGACAAAGATTGAAAGATGAAAGTCAGGAAATTATCATCAGAAAGTTCTGATGAACAAGGTATCATAAATGAAATTATCAATGAAGTCTGTGAATCAGGCTATAATATCATTTCATATTGAAACACAAGAGATATTATTCCAATTAATAAAGAGTAAAAGAGATTAAAAATATAAAACAGTGGAGTAGGAATGTGAAAACTAAACTAAATTTAGGAGAGCTTATATAAATAATAGTGGAAAAACAAGTTAATCAAAGCAACTATTACCCCCTTGTGATGCTGATAAATGCAAATTTAAAAATGTGCTCACTATTCACACTAGCTGATCGTTCAAATGTATTAAATATGTTCTGGAAAATGAGATTTAACTTCAAGGGAGGGCTTTCATCATTAAGTATACTTCACTAGTGACACTCTAAGTATAAATATTATATTAAAGAAGGAAGCCAAAGGCTATCAAACAATGCATTTTTCCTTCCATTAGATGATGTTAGTAATAGAGTATGCAAAAATGTTATGGCCACATTATGTATAAGTGATAAATTCTATAAGAACTACTTTTAAAAATCAGGCAGTAGTAATTTACACTAATGACTTAAGAGGGAAACATGAATCATAGATCATTAGATCTTGAACTTGTAAATGGAATTAAAATCATATTAATAGTTTTCTCGAATTGAATCTCATTATTTACGAAACCAAACTTCTAGAGAGTTTATAGATGGTTCATTGACTTATCAAGTATGCATAAATTATATATTAAAGAATGTGAGGAAAATAATAAATCACCAGTCAAGCTTTCAACTTATTCACATGTGTTCAACACTAAGTTTAACATAGGTTTATGTACCCAAAAGACCAGTGTGCTTTATGTGAACGGTACAATAATAGTTCTGATATTGAAAAACAAAATTTACAAGCTGAGCTTGAAGCACATAAAATGAAACTAAATTATCAAGGTTTGAAAAGAAAAAGATAAGAAGCTGCAAGAAAATACTGCTGAAAAGTATATGGTGTCTTGTTATGATTTGCAAAGTGTTCTAACCACTCCAGCTGCAAAAGTATCAAACTTTATTATGCTAGAAAATTTGCCACCTACAATTTAACTATATAGTTTGGGCGAAATGAAGCAAATTGTTTTGTTTGAACGAAGATCAAGGTAAAGAGGTGCCAATGAAATATCTACACATGCATTACAAATATCTCATACAGAATTGTCTTCAGAAAGATACTATTTTTATTCAGATAACTGTTCAGGCCAACAAAAGAATAAATTCATGATTAGTTTGTACTTGTATGCTATTAACTATCTAGATATTCCTTCTATTACCCACAAATTTTGATAGTAGGGCACACACAAATGAAGGGGATTCAGTACACTCTACAATTGAAAAACAAAAGAATAGCTACTTAGAGGAGGGTCAATATTTTCTCCCCTACAATGGCCTACAGTCATCCAAACAGCAAAAACTGAAAACCATTCAAATTAAATGAGCTACACATAAAGATTTTATAGATTTTAAGCAATTGAGTAAAGATATTGGTAACAATTTTAATAAAACACTACAGGTCAAACTGTTTTATGGAGAGATATTAAAATTATTAGAGTAACAAAAGAATTCCCAGACAGATTCTTTATAAACAACTTACGGAGAAGCAGATTTAGAAATTATGTTTTTAAAGAAAACTAGAAATTAAAAAAAAAATCATCAAACATCAATTTGAAATTTGCATTTTCTGAAGAGCCTGAATCACAATAAAAAAAAAGACTTAATTTCATTGTGTGAGCAAAGCTATTCCAGATACTACCATAGTTTTATAAAACTTAAAAGTGTCTGAAATTAATAATACTAATAACAACGAAGAAAGTGATTAATTTATAAAATTATAAATTATTTAATTTTATTTATAACATTATACTCATCATAAGGTCATGATAATTATAATAAGTAATGGTTTTTTTATTTGTTGTGTTTGATTCATATTTTATTATTTTAATACAATAAAATAAGTTCACTTATTAGACAGGTAGTCATTTTTAATTTTATTTAATAATGTAATTTTTAAATATGATTAAATACAACTGCTATCTGTTTGCTGATTATTTATTATTATACCCATACCATTATCATACTATTATAATAAACAACACTTAATCAAATTTTAAATTACTTAAATAATATTATAATATAAAATTATTTATAAGTTGTTTAAATTTCAACAGTACAACTCGATTTATGGCATAAAATGTTCATGGCTTAAATTCAATACTGCCATATTTTAATAAGTGGCCATCTAAAATCATTCTATGCACAGTCACATATCGCGTGGCAGTCTTGCATTTACTAAAAATTGTAAATGGCCACAAGTCTAAAATTTTGGGTTTAAGAGTGAATTTCATAATATTTGAAAATTAATATTGTAAAGTATGATTGTAAGTATTTAAATATTAAATTTCAAAAGCATATAAAGTACCCATTAAAATATCTTAGTTCCAAACTTCAATCGATTTTCTCAAACTATAAATTTTGAGTTGTGGCAGTCTTGTTCTAGAGTG